CAACGTTTCGACAAGGTTTGGTACCTGAGAATGACAAAACCTGGTCGAAACGTTGTACATTTGTTGTCATGTTAAACTTATATTAAAGTTTTTCTTCATTACCCATTTAAGCCGTCTCCAGCCATTATTAGTCTCAAAGTGGGTTCCTCGTCATCGAAAATATAATTAATAGTAATTATATGCAATTAAAACTGAAATGTTTATTTACTCTTACGTGTAGGATACTTTTTTGGATATAAAAACCGAATATCTTTGTATCAAACATCGAGTGTGGCATATCATTATAGGCGTAATTTAGGTTATATAGGTTCTACTACTAGGGTGTTAAAAATACGTATATAAGAAAATGCAAATTGGAGATCTACGCCATATCCAAGTGTTAAGAATCTTGCGCTATACAGTTGTATATATATAGACAGAGAGGATTTTAAAATCTTATACATGGCTAGTAATGAACGTGAGCTCAGAATAAAGAAAAGTCTATTAATTAATAGATTCAAACCGATATTAAATTAACATAACCTTGTAACTTATTTATTATTAAAGATATAAGTGTTAGCATTCCGTCTTTAGACTACGATTTTTATGATTTTAACATATAAACATATATTATATCCAAGTGTTTTAAAGCATATTCTTTAATTGTTCTAACACTATTTGTCATCTTAAGGTAAGATTTGCATCATTTATTTTTCTAAATATAATGTTTTCTGTTTAAATGACCTGCGAAAGTTTACCAATACTCTTTTTCTTGCTTTTTATATTAAAGAATGGTGAGACAACCATAGAGGCGATATCCTACGTTCTACACCATGTGCTGATTTGTGATACTCTGTTAGAATATTGCAGTTTTAAAATTATCGGAACTGCTGGCGATGAACGCTCTTAAAAGGTTTAATAACTGAAAATGGGTTTTATTCAGAACCAATTTTCTGCTTAATTATTAATACGAGTTGAATCTGTTTTATCTGTTGAATTTTGCGCAAAGATACTAGCGAGTTATCTTACCTAGCTGTCCTTAATTTAGCTAGTCAACACCACCCATTGACAAAGTTTAGGTTCCACTTTACCAATGTGAAGTAAGACTCACTATCATACTGACTGACTGACTTCGACAGCTGAAAAGGCGAACATTTTCGATGATGGAATTCGAGCCCACGACCCTCAGATCACGAATCGAGTACCCTGATTTTCAAACCATGCCAGTCCTAAATACTAGTTTAAATCGAATTTTTGATCTATTCTCATAACTTTACCAAAATAAAATAAAATTACGATTGTTGTGCAACCTCAAATACAAAAAATATTAACTTTAAAAAATAACAATGTGTTACCATCATGAATCAATAAGGAATAGATCACTGTCACAAGAAAGGAAGTATTCTTAAAAAACCCGATACTAACACACTGACTGATAAATTTAGAAAACTATTTGCATATTCAAAACACACTGATCATATGATGCACTAGGTTATAACCGAACTTTACAAATTCAGGAAATTAACTCGTACTATGCTTCATCTAGGTGTTTCCGACTTACATAGTACCATGTTCATCACGACCAACGCTGTCAAAAGACCATTTCTTTGGTAGGCTGTTCCAAATACTGTGTAAGTGCCTATCAGTAGCAGGAATCTTAAGAGAATGTCACTAGTTAAAATTATGAATATTGATTTCTGATTATGGACCAAGAAACAAATCATGGAACAAGTTGATAAACCGTGGCAGACGTCACATGGTTTTCGAGTAGACCGATTTCTTCAATAGTGACGAGGATTTAGCTATTTTTAATCACACCATGAGAAAGAGATTCAACAACTCCTTATTTCAAACTTGAACAAGAAAACACGGCTTCGGTGATTTTTAAAACTCGAATTCCAGACAATGAATCATTGGAACTTTGTGGTATGATCCGGCTAGTCACGTGTTATCCATTTGGGGGGGGGGGTACTGGGAATAAAGTATAAACAAGGAGAAAGTCATATGAGACTCTTAATCTTGCTTGTGTTTATCAGTCATTGCAAATTACTAGAACTGGTGTAATGGTGTATAAAGAGTTTCATTCCTTTGATTACTTAGAAGAGTAAATAACATTAACAGTGTATCTAGACAATGTTGACTATCATTGTCCCCTCACAATGCTTTATTTTCACCATTATGATGAAAGGTTCTTCCAAGATCATAACAAATCCCCAAGATCTTCTTATCCAACATGACAGTGACTTTAATCACCTTTCGTGATCATCATATTCATTATATCATGGTAAACTTGAACGTTGCATTCACCATCATAACCTTTGGCTAAAATCTGTGAACCACTTGCAAACCTGGCTCTTCGAAGATTTGTTTACAATTAAGCAAGCCACACTCCGGGTGTTTTTTGTTTTGTTGTTGTTTCGTGTTTTTTTTTAACTTTATGTTACTATGAACTTTTGTTTCGCAGCAAAAGATGTACTAACCCAGATAAGTTAAAAAAAAGTTGGTCTTATTATTGAAAATATCTTAAAGGCTAAAACAGGTAGTTTCTTTTACGTAAAATAAGTCATTATTCGGACCTCACTGACCCTAGAAGAACACTGAGTACACTAAAACGAAGTCGATAATCAAATACCTCTTTATCATCGATGTACCATTTGAGTCGAGCGGCCGGTTCAGAAGGCGCTGCGATGCACGTAACATCAACTACATCTCCTGGACCGTAACCGTCATGGATTCCTTTCATCACTGGATTTTTGTCCGGGAGGACTAAAGAAAAACACAGCAAAGCCACGTGGTTTGAACATTATTTTTTATACTTTCATCAGTGATCACACAAAATTAAGCCATGTAGATACAGATTACTTAAATATATCGTATTACTGAATTAAGTAAATTTTGTGTTTCGTAAGGCTTAGAGTTGGTCTAGTTAATAATATTTACGTCGGAACATATATCAAACTTACAAATCATTATAATCGTAAAGTGGTAGAAAACGTGAATACTGAATTAAACACAAGTGTTTAGTTTAAGAAATATTCCTTTCTATTTTCACATAAAGAATAAAACACTTTTAAGTATTTTAAATCATTATGCGTTGACAAAAATTACTTGATAAGAATAGCTACAGAAAACCGTAGAGTTTCTCGTTCTTACAACGTATAATTATTGTAAAATAATCACATAAGCTGTTAATTCAATGAACCTTTACCCTCTTGTTACATAATTTGTTGAATTAAGTAGTGTGTGTTAATAATGTATCTTTCATAAATTCGTCTTAGATATGTCACTTAATCTCAATTTCAAGGGACAAGTAATTATTATTTTTTTAATAATACTAATACAATAAAACTGATTATTTGTTTAGAGCACAATATTTCTGGAGCAGAAAGTTAAACACTTAACTTACATTGTTTTGATATTAAGCTCTCATAAAGTAATCATTCCGAAGGTTCGATATGTTTCTTTGTACTCATTAATCCTGCTTTGCTTTTCACTTTTCATATTTGTGTTAAGAACATACAGGTCAACTACAAACAGTTGTTGTAATATAAAGTTAACATATAGTCAGATATTATAACTGAAATATTGAGTACCAGTATAATATTACTGTTGTCTCTGAACGCAATATAACGTTATGGGACAAATCATGAATTATTATTAATGTAGTAATATTTATTAAAACATGATATATTGATCTTGTATTATAGATCTATGTAGTACTCACTGTTTCATGAAACTTGGTTGTATTACAAAATAACTACTTTAAGGCTAATTATGTTTTGTAACAGGAACTTTGATCCAATTTAAACCAAATGTTTGCCGTGAGTAGTCCATGCATGCTAATTTAAAGAGAAGAAATGCATTTGAATAAGCTTTACGAATCCCAGACAATTTGGAAGAAGTTTGTTCATGTTTTGGATTTAGTACACTTAAATTTAATACAACCAAAAAATGTACCAGTGATTACAATTTAATCACAAATG